GTGGATCGAGAACTGGATGGATGGCAGAGATCAGATGGCAGTGATAAATGGGCCAAGTCTAGTTGGAGGCCTGTGGCCAGTGTTGTCCCCCTGGTACCGGACCCACTACTGTTCAACTTGGTCATCAATGACTTGGGCAAGTGCACCCTGAGGAGGTTTGGGCCGCTAACCAAACTGGATGGAGTGGATGACACTCCAGAGGGCTGTGCTGCCATTCAGAGGGACCTGGACAGGTTGGAGAGTAGGGCAGAGAGGAACCTCATGAGGTTCAACAAGGTCCTGCATCTGGGGAGAAATAATCCCAGGCACCAGTACAGATGAGCGGTTGACCTGCTGGAGAGCAGCTCCACAGAGAGGGCTTTGGGAGTCCTGGCTGACACCAAGTTAACCATGAGGCAGCAGTGCCCTCGTGGCCAAGAAGGCCAATGGGATCCTGGCTGCATCAGGAGGAATGTTGCCAGCAGGTCAAGGGCGGACCATTCCTCCCTTGAGGAGGAGGAATGATCGCTTTTGAAGGATCATTCTTTACCTGGCCTTTGCCTGGCCAGTTGCCTCTTAACAGGCAAACAAGAGCAAAACTAATGCAGTGTCTCTGTATTGTTTATTCCAGAACTTTACATTTGTAGAGGAGTGGCCTAAAGAAGATTTCAGTTGTGAAGAGAGAGCATACTGAGCTCAGCTGTGCTCCTAGGGAGCCTTGGGGATTGGGAATACAAAGCAAGCCGTACCTTTTGGTACAATCAATCTCATCTCTCCTAGCAGGCAAGAGGGCAGTCACAAATGACCTTATAGATTAGGCACTTTCTGTTTACCTTCAATTTCCCACTGCCTGCTATTTGTAGAGAACGATTCGCCAGACATTCAATTAAAAGTTTTGCTCAGTGGGGAACTATTGGATAGTCTGTCACTTCTACAACTTCTTCTCTCCATGGAGAGATAGACAGGTAGGTGAAGCAGCTGACATAAAGGTCAGGAATACTTACCTAGCTCTCCTGAAATGCTGCTGAGTGGTTTTGTCCAGTGTGGCAAGGTGGTGACTGTCAACTCTTGGCCCTTTGAAGGCTGCTGTGCCTACAGCTGTCAGCCAGCTGTGATTCTCCTTGCCAGCACCTTCCATGAGAAGAGAGAAGGAGACAAAGCTGGCAGTCAACCTGCCCTACGTGGACATTGCTGCAGCTGAAGGGTCTGCCACAAGGGAATGCAGATAAGGAGCTACTTGCTAATCTGGCCTGATTTTACACAGAGACAGACATTTTAGGGGTGTTGTGTCACTGTGGATCCAGATGAGCACAGGATGGACGCCTGCCCCTTTTCAAGTTCTGACAGGCTCTTTCTGGCCACTTTCCTTTGAGTGCTGCTGCAGATGCTCACCAGGCCTGTGGCCTCTCCTGCAGCTTCTGTCTCGAGGCCAAATATGGAGTTCTTGCATTGCCTAACATGTGCTATGTGTGACTTGCCATGGAGCTGATGGTGGCTTTTAGAAAGCAACAGGACAATGAAATATTTAAGAGGTAAATTAGGGCCTGATGGAAGGTAGTGATAAAATTTATTTGCAGTGATTTCAGCGAAAACAGGACCTGGCCTTAGATAAAGTGCTAGTCATGTTCTCTTAGCAGTGACTTTCCAACTAAGCAACAGGACCTCTTCACCTTATTTATTCCAGCAGAAGCAGCACTGAAATCTGATGATGTCTATAAACATGAATATGGCTCCCATTTAGCTGAAGCCATAAGGCATCAGAATTCACACAGACCTGGTGCCAGGGAGAAATTTATTTCTCTGATCTGTTGTGTGATGAAACCAAGGAGAAAGGGCTTTTTTTCTGTCTTTTTTGGGTCTGGACTGATAGAAAATTCTATTGACCAACCTTCCAGAAACTCTTTCTTTCAAGGAAATCTATGGTTTATGAGGAAAAATAAGCATCTCATTTTGACTAACAGTTTGCCTGCTGAGAGTTTTTATTATGCTTCATTGTGGTCCCTCACGAGATAGTTGTGCTTTATGAACAACATGGCTTGTGTATGGGGGAACAGAGCAGATTCATCAGCAGAACATTTAATATAGTACTTGCAGTCCCTGGGTTGTGATAGACATTTTGCCTGGCTGGGGACTGGGAGCACAGGGACAAACAGGTTGCCAGATTGGTGGATGCTGGGTGGAAGCATTTTTCAGCAGCCTTGATGAATCACTGTGTTACAGCTTTTCATTTTCAGAAAGATCTTTTCTGAAAAATGAAAGGGAAGGTAGAAAATGAGACAGTTGGGGGTGTTTTCATTTAAATCAAAGATAAAATTCAATTAGAATAAAGATGCGTTTAAAAAACCACACCATTATAAAAGTATTTTGAGGAAGAAACCAAATCTAGATTAGCAGCAGAATGGCCCAGAGGAGCATTTGCCAGGTCTGCTGCATGCGCAGGTGTTGTGTTTTACTTGCTCCTCTCTCATCAAAGCCAGAAGGATTCATATGTCGAGAGCTTCAAGCAGCACTTCAATTAAGGAGAAAAGCTCCTGTATGACCTTGCAGGCAGGCCATTAAAGCAGAGGCTAATGTGCTTGGACTGCATGGAGATCTCCGTACAACTGAGAGAAGCAGGTTGGTTTTACATCTCCTGTGTGCTTGGAGAAGTGCAAGACTTCTTCTGTCTCAAGCCTGATTAATTAATGAATGCAATGCGTTAATTTAAAGGACCCTACATAGCTGGCTAGAAATAGAGGAGTTAAAGCTAGTGTAGGATTTTATGATGTTATCTGAGATGCTGATGGCAGGAGAGCACAGCCATAGCCACAGCTATAATAAAGGAAAACTCTGTGAAACACTACATTTACAATCTATCAAAAAAACTGTATATGCGTGTGTGTGTGTGTGTGTGTGTATATAAGGATACATATGTAATTATACACATTTATGTGTGCATGTATAAAACTGAGATTTTCAGATAGCTCTATTAGCTGATGGTCATGAAATAAAAAGAAATCAAATGTTTGGTTTCATGCTCTGTGTATGTCTGGCTCTTTCCATCTTCCAACCAGTCAGTAGAGCTAAGACAGAGATAAGGAAACAAGAGCCACACATATGCACAGTGTGGAAGTGTAAAGCCTCTTCTAAGTGAGATTCAAGCAGGCACTTTATTTAAAAAAAAAACACACAATGGGTCAGACAATGTGCAGGAGCTGGTGTTGAGAGCCTGACTTTCTGACGTGGTGGTGAGGGGACATACCTTACTGCATGAGAGAAGGTCACCAGGCCAGGTGAGCCCTGGTAAAAGGGACTGCTGCGCTGAGCCACAGCATTGAACAGTCTGCAGAGCAAAACTTGACTCATGCAAGGCAACCGTTGCCTTTTGTATCCTCCTAATGCAGCAGAATAACTCACGGTGTCATTTGACCTCCCCCTTGTCCCTGATGCGTGAGAGTACCAAGGGCAGGCTGATGTGTTTAGCCCTTTTTCTTTTCTCTTTCCCCTCGCCACCCCTGCCCCGACTTTTCTGAGGTGTGATAAACTAATATTCCCAATAGAACTGTTTCATCTTCAAGGCAACAGGTCTGGGAACCAGATCTCTCTCTCTACTTGGTCATCAATTATGCTTGTCTTCTTCACTGCTGTTTTTCTAAGAATTACCTCTTCAGCAATTCATTTGCCTCACTATCTCTGCAACACACTGACTAAATCGCAGTGTCTCTAAGCCTGGCTGCACCACGCTGCCTTTCTGTTCGTATTGTAGTTTTGCTCTAGAAGGCAGCTGGCTGAGGGAAGCCACAGGGAACTGAGGCCAAGGCAAAGTTGAAACCCTGCTCTGTAATGCTGAAGCAAATGCTAGGAATCTGTCCCCAAGCCTATGCATTTATCACTTATTGACAGTGATTTTCTTACCTTACCCCAAACGTAATGGCAGGTCTCAGCTTTGCTTTTTCTCCTCAAATTACTTTACCAGTTAAGTGTGTATAATCTCTGTGTAAAAGCAAAAGCAGCTTACATGGTAATTGCAGGTGGGCTTGCGGCGCCCGCTGTTTAAGACAACCAGGCAGTGCAAAACACTTGCAAGGCAGTCGAGGCATGTGTGGTCTGCAGATCAGAGCACTAGTATTGAGAACCCCTGGTGCAGGCGAATGTGTGGGCATGTCTGAGCAGAGCAACTCAGTGCTCTTCATTTGTAACAGGAAAATTGAGTTAAGCTGCGAATATTCATTTATTATTTTCCATTTTGTTGTTTGCTTGAGTCCATAGAAATGTGCAAGTGTAGTTAGATTGGGAGATTGCATGTGACCTGTTGAGGACTAACTGGTTCCATAATAGCTTGCATGACCAGCTGAGAGACTGTTGGCTACAAAGCACCAGCTTCAGTTGCATGTACCTCTATAACACAGAACTTTGTAGTCTTATAAAACCAATGGAAATGCATTTACGTAAGAACAGCCCCCTTTAGCAGTTAAGTCCTTGCATCCTCTCTGTGCACAATCTTGCATAGTTCTCTCTCTGCTGCTTCAGCCCTGCTTGTCCTGTCCGTCCCACTGTCAGGAGTGGGGTGCCCTGGCCGATATAAGGAGCAGGACTCAGAACATCGATATGATGTGAATACTGCTGTTGACCCCACAGAAGCTCAGCTTGTTCATAATAGAAAGCTATGAAGCTAAAAGGAAGTGTCATGGCTAAATTAATATTTTCAGTTATAGGTCTCATTTGCAAAAATGAATGATTAAACTGAATTCAGTATTTGGTATACAAGTGCCTACCAAATGGTCAAAGCGTTTTTCTTGCAGTCTGTGGAGGAAAACATGGATACTAACTTATAATGGTAGCTCCTCATTCCCAGCATCCTGCAGATAACAGGTGACACAGATAACAGCTCTAATGGAGAATGTGCAGTTAACTTTTTATTCATTCCTGTATAGGATTTTTTGTCCATTGCCCCTATTCCTAATACTTTGACTCTAAAATGTGGCACTCGGCAAACTTTGGTTGGTTATTTGCAATGCAGTTTCTCCTGTTGTTGATTCCAGATTGACAAGTATGCTCAGCGGGACCTGAAGAAAGGGCTTCATTTGTATGGGACAGATGGAAATATTGGCCTAACTAATGCATGGAGCATCATTCAAACAGATGTAAGTCTGAATTTCTTTTTTCTCTTTAACCATGAGCTCTGTAACAGTATATTCTGCGGGGAATCTAATTAATCCCCCATATCCCAAATCAACCTTCTCCTCCTGCCCAATCAGCACATTAGCATGTAAAGCATCGGCTTTTTGTCACAGACAGCAATTTTGTTTCTTGTTGTTTGGCTTCTCCTTTGCTGAGGATGATTTCTATTCAGTACTTACATTATGTCGACTCCTGAACATCCATTAATTCTGTGTCTTGTTGAAAATGCAGGACATGGTCAGAGAGGAAAAAAGCGGCTACCTTCCCTTTACAGTCAAAGGGAACAGGACAGCTTACCCTGAAATGAATAGCAATAGTGTAATAACAGGGAGCCACTTCAAACCCTTTTCACTTCTGTCTCTTTTTGTGGTCATTGCTGGTTTGCAACCTTCAACTGTCAGCACGTTTTTCCCAGCAGAGGTCTGTTGTCCTCCATCACAGATGGGCTGGGAATGCTTTGTGCTTGTTTTGTCACCACCACAATGTCCTTTGGATTCTCTGATAATGCTCTGCTAGCATTTGCCTCAAGGACAGGCTACACTGATCTCGACAGCTGGCTTCCTCCTTTGGTCCTCAGCTGGCTCGCTGAGGAAACGCCATCCGTCGCAGTCCAACTCTGTTATTTTCATCCTTCTCCTTTTATATTCAGATCAATCATTTCTCCGAGGTGTAGGCTTTCTAGTTTGATTTCCTCTGCTTTTTGAATGAGGAGAGGTGTAGAGTCCCTTCTAATTTACTTACCTAGCTACTTACCCATTACTGCCCTGGCCTCATTCAGAAATCTTGTGTAGCTTTCTTGAGAATCTCCTCTAGAGGAATCAGCATCGTGTGGTCTTGCAGAGCTCTTGTCTCTGTTGTCTAAAATCGGCCAAAGAAGATACCTACCCAAATGCTTCTAAGTCTTTGTGAACTTTCCAGGCTAAGGAATGGGTTACCTACCACATTTTGGTATGAGAAACCTACTTATCTAACCTTTCCTTCCTCTACTGCCACTTAGGCAGAAATCCTGAATTATTCAACTTTCTGCTTGGTAGCACTGGAGCTTCGCAGCTGCTCTGCTATACAATACAGGTAGGCGGGATGCTAAGGAAGGCTCTAGGAAATGAAAAATTCAGGATCACTAGCAGAATCCAGGCTGGACAAGACTTGCCAAGCCCCTGGTGCATCTCCGGAGCTGTGTGAGCTATCTGTACCGAGACTGGCAGTGACAGCACTGTGCGCAAGGGACTTAAGTGGCTCAGGTCCTGCAGAAGTGCTAAGGTCTCCATTTCTGTGCTGGCACTAGAGTGCATGGATGGTGCCTGCTGTTACTTTTAAAAGGTCACGGCATTTAGCAGTCCTTTTTTAAAAATATTTTCTCAATACTATGATCAAGCATGAGAAGTTATTATTAATTGCTTATAAGAGAAATGTATTCAGAGGTTCTAGCCAGAGAAAAGTAGATGAAATCTTAGTATCACTACTTGTTTAAAAAAAAATTATACTTCCCCAAAACCAATTAACTTTGCTTAGTCAAAATATAATAGAATTTCTGTTGTTAAGATGTTTGCAGTAAATATTAACTAGGCTTCAGTAACATCCCAAGAAGTACTAAAAATGTATGTCAAAGATAGCAGGGAAAGCATCATTTGGTGGATTTATGGAAGGTAAAACTCATGCTTCTGCTTCTCCTCCTGGGAAACAGGTGTCTGTGGAAGCAAGTCTAGTTCACCTATCAATATTTTTTCCAAGAAGTTCTCCAATTGACCTGGTTCAGAAACAATGAACAAGAATATTAGAATTCTGGAATTTACTTTTAGTGGGAAATTTAAAACTTCTGCCTACCCAGGAAAAGATAAAATAGTGATGTGATTATAGCCTATAACAAGATGGCAAACAGGAAAAAGGTTTTTGAAAGTAGAGAGCTCTGTAATTTTTGGAAAGGAAGTGTAGTGTGATCCAAACACTAGAAATTTAAGATACACATGTGGGATGGTGAGATGCAGAAGGATGGCAGCTTCTTTCACCCCTGGCAAGATAATGTTTGTCTAAAGGAAATGCTCTTGTTCAGCCACAAGTTTGATCTTGAGGCAGGACTTGATGTTCTGTGGCTTGTGTGGTATTACACATGATGCTGGACTATCGTAGCGGTTGCCTTGGCCTTCAGACTTACTACAATTTGAATGTTTTAAAAACTTAAGGTGAAACTAAATTTAGCTAGTTCTCAGGACCACTAAAGATAACTGGGAAGAGTCACCATACAAGTCACATCAAATTGTTCCTTCTTTCTAGCATAATAACTCTGAAATTACCATGCACTGGCAGTGCTTCAGTGTTAAGGTCCGTGTAGTCCCAGCACTGGGCACTGAGGGGACCAGCAAGGAGCTCCCACAGATCCATTTCTGCTGCTCTGCCTATTTGGTTTTCACACGTATCTCTCAAAACTATTCAGCACTAGCATATTGCAATGGTGCAGTGAAAGCAATCCCAGCATGGTTAATTATGTAAAGCACTTTGCAGATGAATAGCACTATGTAAATGCCAAGTATTAATTTTTTGTGTTCAATAATAATTGTTATCCCTTACATCCCTAAACGGTGTAGTGTATTCACTAATAGGGGGATTAGGAGTATACAGGGGACTTCCAGAAAGGAAAGTTTCCGCCCAGCTGTTTTCAGCCTGGCTCCTAGGAGATTATGGGCAAAAGAGCCCCCCACCATTAGAGCTAACCACGTTGGCATATAGGCAAATGTCTTGGTATCGACATATATATATATATATATATATATCTTATGAATATATATATATATATTTTCTTTTTTAATGGAGCCAGTAGACATCAGTCACTGGTTGAGCAATGAGCCACATCTACACATGGATGGAAAAGAGCAGCCAAGGTCGGGGAAGACAAAGCAAAACATGACAGTGGCAGCAATGTTAATGAGTCCTCCTCCTCCCTTATCCCCTCTGTATTTGCACTGCTTTTCTTTGCACAAACGTCACTCGGCTTGAGCAGAAGGATGGCACTGTGATTAAAGTATGAGGCACAGACACCAGGGAGCTAAGCCCTGGCACAGGTCTCTGTTCTTCCTGCCAAAGACCAGCCCCATCCTGGGTTTAGTAAATAGGCCAATGTACGGCAACTACCAGGAAAAGAGCTTTGATTTTTATAGAGGGGTGGTCAGAATGGGGGAGGCAACAAAACAATAACAAAAAAAAACACATTTTTTTTTAGCAACAGAAGCACATTTAGCAAGTGGCATTTGGCTTGTGTGTGACTGCTTGATCACAAATTTCAGAGACGTTTAAAGTGGCAGTATGGATACTGTCCCCTCTCTTGGGGAGGCTTACTTCTTTCAGCCTTGTACCTCAAGAAAGGGGAACATCACCCTACAGTTCATCCCTGGGAACACAGAATCAGCCAGTCTATCAGCCCTGGCTTTAGAGAGGAAGTTTTAGTTCATGACTGATATTTTCAGACCCCAAATAATGGAGCTGCACCATGGGTTCATCTGCACACATGCACCATGTTACGGGAAAAGCATTAGACTTCTCTGATCTCTAGGCCTCTAGGTCAGGAATCTATTTCAAACTGGAATATCCTACTTTATTTTTTAATACCTTCAATTTACCAAACTCACTGCCTTTCTCAAGGGAGTTTCAAACCTTAAAAGGAACAGACACACAAGCAGGTGCCTTTGCACATTGTGAGTGAGGGCTACAAAAGCATACAAAGTAATTTTAAACCTGACTAAAATTCTAAGACCTCAGGCTGTAAGTGGCACCTGAGCAGCATTTCACTCCGTAACAACCAGGCTCAGTTAGTCACAGGTGGAAACTACTAGGAAATGAGAAATGGGCATTAATTTTTAAAATGCTGCTTCATCATTACCATTGGGATCCTTTTAACTAATCGGTCAGTAATTTGAGAGGGCTGTAGAAAAAGCATTAGCTTTTCTAAAATGAGCAGATTCGGCTCCCTTTCACTGCTCTTTAATGCCTTTCATGTCTACTTAGGCCACTGTAACTGAGAGCAACTTGATCCAATCTTCCCCCATGCGGTCATTGATTTGATCTTAGATTAAAGTACACTTTTGGATTACTTCAGCAGTAATCCAAACCATCCATTAAATGTATGATTTTTCAATTAAAACTATCTTATTCACTACTTTTCACAGTGATGGAGGAAAAAGACATACACAGGGCACCATAACCCTAAGTCTCCCCCGCAGTTTTGATAAGAGAAAAAACACTAACTGCTAAAAACTTGACACAGGGATTCAGTATCCAGGGAGGGGAGGAGGAATGTTAATTTTTATTCGTAAGTGCTATCCCAGCCTTGCTGACTTTTTTCCCCAAGAATTTGGCAAAGAAACTATGATCCACTTATTATTTAATACTAGTTCTTTAATACTAGAGTAGCCAGGAAAATACAGACTGTTTTAAATCTTCTTTTGCATGCCAGCACTGCAGTAAGATAAAAACATTTTATTTAGCATGAATTTCCAGCACTTGCTACCCCAGGCCAGAGCAGCAATTGCTTGGTGACACAAAACTAAAGTTACCTGGGAGCAGCATTGCATTTGTGAGTACAGCCCAGAGCCCTCCACGCCATGCGATGCCGCCTGGCTGGAAAGTGCTCCTCAACCCATGTCCTCTGGCTGCATCCTGGTGCTGAGCAGCCCTGAATTATCCAGAACTCGCAGGAGCCAACTCGGCGCCCCCCGAACTCCTCGGCAAGCCTTCTGGTATCAATAGGTGGCAGCCACTGATGCCTCCTTAGCAAAGGAGCAGAGAAGTGTGTTTTGATGTTTCAGGAGCAAGAGCCTCTCACACAAAACAAGTGAGGCAAACAGGAGAGCTTCTTAAGCATTCCTAGAAATGTGCAGCAGCTTAGATACATACTGTTTTAACGTTTTGTGGCTTTTTTGAGCAGCATTTCCCCAACTTTCATCAGTGCCCCCAGAACTACTGTCCAACAGTCACGTTATTGCACAAGCACTGGCATGCCTTCTTACCACACATGCTTTCGCTCCTGCAAGCCCTAGGATGAGGTGCTGTGTGGTCTCCAAGTCAAGGCATCTTCAAGGTATTGTTGTTCAAAAGATAATATCAGACATCTTCTGAAACTATCCCCTTTCAGCGAGTGGGAATTTCAATAAAATAAAGGTACTATTAGCCTGTAATTGTTTCTGAAAACATCTCATTGTTGCCCACTGAAAATAGGGACAGAATTAAGCAATCAGGCAGTCTTATCTAATATAATTGCTAGGTAGTGAAATAAGCAATAACAGGACCCCAGATGTGACCCAGGCAGTGCATGTGGCTGTAGCTTACCTTGCCTTACCTCATCAGCAACCGCTTTCTGCTGATCAGGCAGCTTTGTAGAAAAACATAAGGTCTGAAGTAATAACTGTCTCCAACCAGCTGTTCATTGTGGATATTTTCTTCCATGTGATCTGTGCTTTTTCCATCCTCCAAGTACAGGATGGTCTCCCAGCTATCATTACTCAGAAACACTGTAAATTTAAAAAAAAAAAAAAATGTTTCTCTCAAGTCTCACAAGGAAGGTCTCTTGGCTTTGGCTTCCCCTTTTTCCTTAATGTCTTTCCTTCTTCTTCCAGTAGTCCCTCATCTCTCTGAAGGATCTGTTTCTGGTTGTCTTTTTCTTCATATGCACAGATATGCTTAGCAGATGATCCCAATCAGCCCTCACATTCACTCTTCTCAATTTGGGCCTCCAGGCTGAAGTCCCCGAATTTACTGAGCCCTCAAGCTTTCTCTTTTTGGCTCTCAGCTAGACCCCTTTGCTGATTATATGGTGGGTCAGTACTTCTATTGAGGATCAGTACTCCTAGAGATGCTGTCTGCTTGATCTGGTTTTCACTAGATGCTGAATATCATTGCTCGTTGTCTTTTTCTCCACCTGCTCTCCTGCATTCTCATTTCTGTTGCCTTTCCTCATGTCCCAGATTCTCCCTGTCCATGTTTCATGCTTTTCCACACTTCTTAGCCCTAACTCCTATCACTCGCTCTGCCTTGCTAGCCAGTAGCAGTACCCAAATCGCAGCATTTGGTCCTCTGTACTTCTACAAATCACTGAGAAGCCATGTGGATAGGCAGTGTGTGGTCAAGATGAGACTAAATTAGCCCATTTCAGGTTGTCTTTGCAACTGCATCCCCTCCTAGTTCCATTGCTGGGCCTGTTGGAAACTTTCTCCTTACAGTCTCTGGAGTCCCTGTCCTAGAGCACTTCCTAGCTAGTTCTTGCTGCTCATGTTCTACTGCAGCAGCTGTCTGCAACACTCTTAGTGATCTCTTAATAATCAAGGCCTTATTTTGTCTTCATCCTCCATAGCCTGTCGGACGTCCTTGACACTCAACCATGCAATAGCATGGAGGGAAAAGGGCTGGTCTCAACCCGCGCAAGTTGTGTCACTCATGCCTGGTCTGAACATCACTCATATGTCTCAGCCCTTGATGTGCTGCCCTCTACATCAGTGGTGAACAGCATTTCCAAGGCTTGCTATTTCCAGCCTGCCCATCAGTTCTTACTCTTATCAAAAGATAAGTCTTCTGTCTCTGATCAATTAGTAATGGTAGTCTGCAAGACTTTCTTGTTAAAATTTCTAGATAAACCCTCTCTCCTCAGATGATTGTCCCCTATGGTTCCCATGTGGTTTGGCACCTGCTACTCATGAAATCCCTATTCTGCATGCAGAACCATAAGGAAACTTAAGAAAGTTACAAACATTTTTTTCCTTGAAATTTTGATGTAAATGTTGCCCGTAGACTCAAACACTCGCAAGCTATGGATTGATTTCTGCCACAGACCAAATGAGAGGATTGTGAGCAGACCCTCACGGGGATATACGCTGCTCCAGGAAAGGCTTCTGACTTACGCATGGGAGAAGAAAAACACTGTGCTGTGAGCACTGGAACATCTCTATCTGCCTACACTCAGTGAGCGTTTGCAGCAGCAGAGATGAGCTGTGAGGCAGTGTGTGACACCTCTGCCCTCTATTGGCCTTGACTGTCTGGCTGATCTTCTCCAGTGAGTGCTCTGAGACCTGAGTACTCAGCTCTCCATGCAAATAACCCCCCAAAATACTATATTTAGGAATCTTCCTTAGGCCTGTATGTAAACATCAGGATCTGAAGCAGGCCCTACTCCTGGAAGTGGTTATGAACTCTGCACGGTTATGAGTCTTTCCATACAATGCAAGCATTCTGTATGTGGATGTGAAAAATACTGCACATGCCTATGTAACATCAGGCTTAAAAAATAAGACCTTGGCAAGTCATTCTGGGGCTAAATAGGCACCGCTGGTCCAGATCTCAAAAAGCGTGAGGTCCTGCCACGCTACAGAGCAGCTCTGCAGCCTGATGTTGGTAACTCCGTGTAGGCTGGGTTTTTTTATTCACTGGTGCTTCTGAATACCTCCAAGTTCCATACTTTCTGAGTTAGGAGTAACGGATGGTGCATATAACTTCATGCTGTTAAATCTTAGCTAATGTTGTCTCACAGGAATGGCCTAGGATGATAATTTAACCAGTTGCCCAAGAAGAAAGATGCATATAACAATACAGGGAATGGCTCTGTGAGCATCTCCCAGGCTTTTTATCCTGCTACCTAAATGCAAATCTAATTAAACACTATCACAGCAGTTTACATTGTTTCACTGGGTGCATACACTTAAAGCACCACTATTTAAGAGCACCAAATGATGACATTAAGGACCTTTCCAAAGAGTGGAGGGAATAATTTTTTCCTGAATAACTTAAGAGTTAGATTGTCTCCTCTCACCCCAACTTCTGGCTGGTGTTTCAGCCCCTGCAGTGTGCTGCTGCTACAAATAGGTGCCTTCGCTTCTTCATTCTCTCAGCATTAGCTATTGTACAAGGCTATAGTAAAAAAAAAGACATATTCTACAAGAGGTAAAGTGGGTGGGGAGAAAGGTCTGTTTGCATTAAGCTAAGATACTGGATTCCCTTAAAATCTCACATCCCAGCTGGTGTAATGAGAACACAACAAATAGCATCCACCAGGAGGCACAGAAGATTCTTCCACTCCCTCTGAATGAACAGAAATCAGTGTCCACCAATACTTAGAGTGTTGCTTGGTTCTTCTTTTTCCAGTTCAGATGCTGTGGAGTCTCCAACTATACTGACTGGTTCGAAGTGTACAACACAACCCGGGTGCCAGACTCCTGCTGCTTGGAGTTCAGCGAGAACTGTGGGCTCCACTCCCCGGGCACTTGGTGGAAGGCGGTGAGTAGCTCCAGCAGCAGCTGAGCAATCTGCTTGCAACACCAGCAAAGCACAGCTAGTCAGCCACAGGTGTCACCCACAAGTGACAGGGCTATACAGATGTGTTGTGTTGTAGGCTGTGTCATCATTAATCAGACAGTTTTGGTAGGCTTGTGCTGAGCCATGATTTCCAACTTTGGAGCTGATTTCTGCACTGTTGTTCTACATTGCAGACAAATACTTTGAAACGTTCTTCTGGAGCACAGTCTAGCTAGGGAATGACAGAGCTGTCCTATTTATGTGCTACCTGCTGTGGCAGGTAGGGCTAAAGGAGCCCTGCATCACTATCCATTAACAGCAGCTTAGGGTGACAGCTCAGGCAGTCACTAGCCTTCAGGGCTGTGTTAGCCCGTGGTGCCCTGGGAACCCCATCTCGAGGACTTTGGCTGCACAGTACAAGAGAGGGTTTGTCCCACTGAACTCCCTGAGCAACCCCGATTCAAGCCTAGCATTTCTTTGGAATGACTCTCTGTACTTCCCTGTAATCAGATTCAAAACTCGATAGGGTAATTTCCTCACCGTGGTCTCAGCAGGATCATTCCAGAGCAGATAGTCAGAGTCTCTGTTCCTCTCTGAAATAAGCTCAGCAATTCTTTGTGCTAATTACAGGTACTGTAATTACCCAGGAGAGAAGTGGGGGCAAGGCCAGCTCGTGAAGTGGAATTAATGGTGTTTTGCTGATTCTTGTGGTTTGTGGAGGAAGACACTCTGTGAGCTTTCTCGGCCACTTTCTAATGAGATTTCATATGCATGGACTGGTGTTCGCAGCGGCTGAGCTCCAACCAAGCCTCCCTCTTTTGTATCTCTAGAGTAGCCCCAAATTGTTAAGCTGTTAATTCAAGCGCTGAAGAATTTTTGGTTTTTATTTTAACCTGGGTTCCCAGATGATCAGTGCAGGTTAACTAGGCTAAAACTAGATCTTCTGGGGAGGGCCTTAGTGACTTTTTATTTAGGAATACTTAAAAAAGCATTACTGTGAACAGCTCTCACTAGTACCTTTGGGGTGGTACATTACATAGAGATAGCAATTGTTTTTTTTTTTTCCTGAAGCATGGAAAAAATGAAAAAAAAATAAAGATCCACTTTGAAATTCTGAAGTGTTCCTAGTTGGCTCTTAGAGGACAAAGACACCCAAACCCATTGCTTGCTTATTTTTAAATACTGGGCCAGGAGGGGCACTTTTTTCTGTCACTACAATTAATATTGCATGGCCAAGGGCTAGCCCAGATTGAAATGATGATTCAGGCTACCTTGCAACCTAATGACCTGTCTCTTTTTGGTCTTTGTATTCTTAGGGAATTAGAGCTTTGTGTTTACAGATAATAAACACTCCTCTCCTCCCCCCTGCTTTTTTTTCCCCAGCCTTGCTATGAAACAGTGAAAATATGGCTCCAAGAGAACTTACTAGCAGTGGGAATCTTTGGATTGTGCACAGCTCTGGTGCAGGTACACTCTAATATTGATTTCAATTCCTAAGTGATGGCAGCTAAATGAGCAATAGTAGATCCAGACATTCTCTGTCTAAGCCTGTTCTGATAATTTCAAGTTTTGCTTGAAAAAAATCTCAGAGATTTAACAAAACTTATTTTCATTCTTTTAAAACACTGTGCACAGAGTTCACAACTAGTAGTACTGTGCAAACCTTCTCTTTTATCACATGCTGTGGAGAGTATGCACTTTATCAAGGAGTATCTAAGGATCATCTTACTTCTATTTATCCATATTGTATTTTTCCATTTGCACATTTTCTATCACACCTGTATTTGTCCCATAATTTTCCAGAGAAGAATGATAGTTTAGGCTAATATGTAACTTCTAGATAATGTACAGGTAGTATAAAATTTCAATTGGATCCTCATTCCCAGGGTAAAGTTTGGATGTTGTCACCTTTTATTCATATTCTAACAGACCAATAAAACATTTCAAAATCCTTAAATCCCCAAATCTGCAATCCATTAAGTGGAATAATGTCCACAAGACTGGTTTAGAATTGCCTGTAAGATTTTGATCTGTTGTTTCAAGCAGAGTCAGAGTTGATACAGTATCTTGTCTTTTACTCTCACATAGACATACCTTTAATGCAACCATTCAAAATTCTGGCCCTAATGTGATCACAAGGGCATGAACCTCTGCTTAAGATACACTAGTGAAATCTGTGCTGAATTCAGCCCAGTTCACCTATACTCTGCCCTTTTTTTATGGTCTGAAGTCCCACTCTCAAACACTGTGAAGACAGAGCTTTAGTTTCCTGTTCCACCTCTCACACCGAGTATGTAAGCAGAAAGGATGGCTTTGCTAAACCAGGTAACGCTTTGGGACTCCAAATGAACCTCTGTTTTTAAGTAGTATGGCATGCCAGTACTAAACAAGAGGGAGCCTGGGACTGTAAATCAGCTCAGACTCTTGCAGATTAGGCAGAAGAGCACATGTCTTACTGTCTCCTAAGTCATGTATTGTCTGCAACTTATTAATGCAAATGCCTGCCTCTCTGTGGGCCCAAATTCAGTAGTTTTTGCTTTCTGGTATGCTATGCAGATATGCTTAGGAAATGGATAAGCGCAACAAAATTATATGGTAGAGAGACAGTATAAATTAATCTGTTACTGCATTTTAAAGAACAGATTTTAAGCATCCATGCAGCACTCAGGGAGTCTTTAGAAGATACATTTTAAGCCCAGCAGACCATGCAGGAGGTCTTCCTATAGACCGTCATTTTCTATTCAGGGTTTTAAAGAGCAAATGATAGCTCTGTGACAAACAGAAATTACTCGCTTCCCCGGGAGAGAACATTTCAGACACTTAAAAGATGCAAATTAATATTTCTGGTAACTTGCTGTGGAACACAGAAAATGCTTCAGAATACAAAGGCTTTTGCCAGGGTCTGCGCAGCTTCAGCTGCACTATGTGACTGATTCTAATCGATCATGAAACACTTGGTCTGCTGCCACCCCAAGCGAATTTGGTTCTCTCTGTTGTTGCTGTTGGGCTGCTGATCTGGCTCTAGCGGTATGACAGCTTCTGTTTTTCAGGGTAATGATATTATGGTTAGAATCACACAATACCATGGCTTGAAGGACATACAGCACACGCATCAGAAGATTTTTTTCTTAGTCATGCATGCTGAAGATTGTAAAATACACTCAGTTGCCAGGGTTTTGTTGTGCCTCTGTCTTTGTTAGGAATTATTGGTTGTAGGAACTGCTTCTAAAAGATGTGTGCTTATGTAAAACAGCAAACTAAAGCTTAACAGTCTTATTTCACTCTGAAGGAAAGGGAAGTGAAGGAATTGCATCTATTTTTATTTTTATCCTTTTTTCATTTTTGCTTATAAAATAGTAGTATGCTATTACTCATGTCCTCTTCCTGGGAACTGCCATTTGTGTAGATAGTGAATTTTATGTGGTCAAATTAAGTGCTTGACATAGAATTCATACAAAAAATGGCTATCTGGCAGACCTCTATCTTGCTGAAAATTATTACAGCTGTGTTGCAAAGGAATAATAAAAACCCAGTATATTCATGTAAGCGTACTCCAAAGGCAGGCACGTAGCACCCTCTCCCTGCCAAGGCCAACAAGGGCAGTAGTTGGGCTGCGAGAAGAGCTATTGCCTGCTCCCAGCTTCTCGTGAAAAGACTGAGTGGTGAGACCCACACCTGGTTGATGCAGCATTGACAATTATGAGTAATGCATGGACAGTCGCCAGTAATGCTCCCTGCAGTGATCACTGCACACGCATGCTTGGAAAAGTAAAGATTTCATCTAGAGATGGAAATAATTGTCTTTCAAAGCAGTAGCTATAGAGATAACCACAGCCCCACTAGTTGGGGGGGGTTGCTACTGTATGTTTTTTTAGCAAAAGGCATCCAAATATTTCTTTTCAGTATACCTCTTGCCAGTATCTTGTGGCTGCTTTTCGTGGAGAAATCAACTCTCCTGTGCTCTCATTCATTTTATAAAAGAGCAATACAGATAAGGATAAAAGGCAGAGAAAAACTAGGAACAGAACAAGGACACAGGCCAGGAGGAAAGTAGTATGTGATGTGTCTTCTTGTGTGTGAATGGGAACAAACAGAAACAGTGTAAGCATGCTTTTTCTTTTTTTCAATAAATATTTTTCTTTTGACTTACTGAAAAATGGTTGTTTGTTTTTTCTCTTAGATTCTCGGACTCACCTTTGCAATGACCATGTATTGTCAGGTAGTCAAGGCAGATACCTACTGTGCATAGATACCATTCCCAATCTCTGTGCTTCTCCTCCAAAGGACACAGGAGAAATCTCCTTCATGCTCATTCATCTGACCTTTTTTCCCCCCTTTGTAATATAAACTGTGTATAATGCTATCTTTCTGAAGATTTTGTGAATCACCCCACTTTACTGAAGGAGGAAGAAAAGACAAACTCAGTACTTGAACTGGCAAAGGTAAGAAGCAGCCTTGTCTTTAAACAGAAGAAAACCTCCAAGGAGTGATGGTTACGTTTCTCTGGCCTATGGCAAGACTGAGGAGGCTGCTTACAGGAGTTCCATCTGCAAACGGATGCTAGGAAAAGATTGCACTGAGGAAACCTCTGTGAAAGCTGCTGAAAGCTGCCAGGTTGCTTTCTAGCATATCACAGGCTGGAAGAGAGGGTGTAGAAAATGAGTGTTCTTCAGCATTCAGAGAAGGTGCAGAGTAGCTAGTACTGAATGCAACTGCAACGTTACTGCAGCTCACGCACAGGCAGAATGTCAAGAGCAAGCTGCCCTGCCTCCAAGTGTCGCAAGATGGTTTTGTAGCCAGGAGAGGATCATCTCCAGAAATATGCTAATCTCATTGCTGCAAAGTCAGACTTTTAATCAGTTATCTGTGCAGTGAGATCTGGCTGTTAATGGAAAATAATATCGGACGTTGTCTCACTAATTGCCAGTGGCGCTGCAGATTGCTGGCTGTATATGTAATATATTCATATACACCTACTGTTCTGAGAGGAGGTGAAAGACCCAGCATCTGACCTCAGAAAGAGGAACCTTTCTATCCCATTTTACATTCCAACTGAAATAACTGAGTATTATTTCTTGTAGGATACACTATCACCTATACCTCTGGGAAACAAGTAATTACCTTCAGTGTACCTTCATTTCAGTAAACAACTTGTGAGTGGGCTCTCTGTCACTCTACTATTTTTTTTTCATTCCTGTTTCAAGTTAGTGTGTCAAAAAGTATCACTCATTTCAACAGTTGAAGATCCATACAAAGCTGTCAGCTGTTCCTTCCCTGAATGTCACCATTTCATTAATTCAGGATACCATCATCTGCAGGTATGATAGAGTTTGGCTTGCTGAAGATAAATCTTTTACACATGGCTTATCTTTCCTAGAGTTACTAAGACTTCAGATATTTTATACTCTGATTTTTTTTTAGCTGCTTCCTTGTGACAGCCAAGGCACATTGGTCTTTGTTGCAAGCAGAGTCACCTCTCAGTTCAGTCTTTCATACCCATCTTCATCCTTCTGGCTTCAACAGCTAGAATCTCCCGCATTTTGCAGAATTTGCAGAAATCAAAGTTTTTACTTTTCTATGCCAGAAAACAGCCAGTTAACAGCTATTAACTGGAGTAATTTTAGTTAGCACCCTTCTGCAGGAACCATGGCAATGAGGTTAAGAATCAGATGCTTCGTATCATTCAGGCAAATTGCAAAGAATCTCCCAGCAGCAAGTAGCCCCAGGCAACACACGTGCGGTAAGGAGTGGAAGCAGCATCCCAGGGAAAGGAGAGAGCAGGGAAGAGAAGAGGCTGTCAGAGTGATTCAGCTGTCCTGCCCTCTGCAACCAGCTTGTCTCGGGTCTCTCAGCCACTGCCCGGGGAGAAGCTAGGCAGCCCAGGTGCCCAGGCAGCCAGTCCTACAGCTACAGGCTAGACACAGGCATCAAGTTCAGGCACACGTTACCTGCACCCTTAATGCTTAAAACAGGTGGTGTCAGCTACAAGTGATGCTTTGAGTACCTTGATATAAAGGCAGTTTTCAACAGTAAAGCTGCACTCTTCCAACCCATAACCTATACAGTAGTCTCCCAATCCTCTTCTAGACCTGCACCATTAGACAAATACAACTCTCATTGCCCTCTTTTCTCCCCCTACCCCCCTCTCCTCAATGATTTCCTGCAGTCTTTTCAGCCTCAAGCCCAAACTGTCCCAGGTTTTGTGAAGATGCTTAAGACAGACTGCTCTGTGAAACTCAAGGTACCTTTCAGGGTCCTACGCCAACCTTCACGCAGCAGCGTCTGCAGGCACTTACTTTTGCAGGCTAAGTTGAAAGTAACTTGTTAAGTCATTTGTGTGCATTTTATGTGGCTTCTCACTCATTATCATGGCAACCTCATCAACCACTGACAGATTTTATTGCCATACCAACAAGCCACAAATGTTAATAGAGCTTAACCCAAGACAGAGGTTCAACCGAGTGAGTAGCCCAAGAATACACAGGACACCTCTGCCTTGAGAGAGACTCCTGGTGTTGCAATCATTCTATGAATTCTATGCTCCACTTCCTGAGCTGAGACAAACACGTAGACTTGTTCTCTGAGAGCTGGGGAGATAGTGTAAGTTTGCTTCTCCATACCTCCACTCTTTTCTCTTCTTACCTGCATAGAAACAATTCTTAGATGCACTGTTCTTGCCATGGTTTATTATCATAGTTGTACTCATAGTTGCTCCTGCTGACAGCTCAGAGTTTCCACCACTGAAAAGCAGCATAACAGTGATGAACACATCAATAAAACATTAATTTTTTAAAAGAAAGGTAAAAAGATGGACAAGGCTATTTGTAGTGATCCTTGCCATTAAAAATTAACATGGAAAGCAGGCCTGATGGCTCAGTTGATGAGAGCAAACAGTTGTGCAAAGGAGCTCCCACACAGCGCACCTCTCCTCAGCTTCCCTGCTGCTGCTGTAGGGAGATGGGAGACCACAGCCCTCGTCCTGTGAGTCTCCCAATAATGCATGCCGAGCTCTGAGAGAACACAGTAGGCTAGAGTGAAACCTCCAGAAGAGACAAAACGAGAAACAGTATGAAGACTGAAGAGAAGTTATCCTTTCTGGTTCCCTCTAATCATTTGCCATGGTTTAGACATCTTTACAAGATAATCTGCCTTGGTTTTCAAAGAGATGATAGAGGCAGTATGAGCAATACTCTATTTGTAAATCCCAGTCACTGCAACAGCAACTTTCAGCAGTAACTGGGGAGAGGGACCCAAACACCAAACTCTCCCTTGCACTGCACAAACACAACTCTTACACTGCCAGAGATGTTAGCGCAACTTACTGATAGTCTGAACCAGACTATTTTTTATATTTGATGTTATTAACTCTTTTCACATAGCCCACCAAACAGAGGATATGGTGCTTAAAGCATTACCAACACAATCCAGTTTGAGACTCTGACCATACTATATGCAACAATACACAAATAAGCCCTTTATTTTAAAATCTTATTTTGGTTAATTATTTAAAAAAAGAGATATGCAGACTTTCTCCATCAACAAAGTCTAAATATTTTGTTGTGTCTGTCACAGTAACATTAAAAAAATATATATGTTCCATTGTTGGTAATATACAGAAACTTTAGAGTGAACGGTTTGATGATAATTGCCCTGTAGTATATCAGATACCCCTTTACGGGTCTGCTTGTATTTCAGGTAGACAGGACAACACAGGAGTCATTCCAAATGCTTACATTAGCCTTTTGACACTTTTAATAAGGTCTTCTATATTATTTTCCCATCTTTTTTTTGAACATGAAGGAGGACTCAATGCATTTCAATTGAAGACAGACTCAAAAGCAGCAAGCCCTCCTCATCTTTATTAATTGCGCTTTCTGCTTGATTACAAGGTGTGATGGAACAGGGCACTGAGCTGAACCTGATGAATTCTGAGACCAAGACTTGGCTTTTAGGTTCAGTTTGATATGTTTTTGGCTCTTCTGTCTTTCCATCTCCACAACTATAGGAATATGTATGAATATATATAATAGAACGTGTTTTATTTTCTTGTACAATAACTGTCAGTTGCAGCCAGATCTTATTGCTTGTTTGACAGAATTATTAACTCCACATCTTCTGGCACGCAATGCATTTCACTTCCATTTCTCTTCTGTGAATACTTATTTACTCCTTCCCCTCAAATCCACCCTTCTAAAGGTTTTTTCTTCTATTTAATGTTTACCATTAAGCACAGCTCTGTATGATTTATGAATGGAGAGGAAAGAATGGCACAGAAACTATAACTAATTTTATCTAGCATCAGCAATATGGCTGTTAGGCAAAGCCATCCCACCCCTCACTTCTCACAAGCTAATTAAAAACTGTTTGGTTGCATTTCCCAGTGCATGTGACTCCAAGCTGCCTCTTCACCCTTTCATAGATAGGGCAGGAGGTTGTCAGTATGGAGAAAGTTAAAAGCTTTTCACATACCTCATAGCTTCATTGTTGTGCTTTACGTGTGGCACCAAAGGTAAGCAGCAGGAAAAAGCAAAAAAACAAAAAAACAAAAAACAAAAAAAAAAAAACCAAAAAAAAAAAAAAAGAGAGAGAAAGAGAGAGAGAGAGAGAGAGAAAAAATGTGGCATTTATTTTAAAACTAGACTCTTAAATTTTTTCCACGAAGATTCATGCTAAGTGTGAATGACCTTCACAGATACTGCTTTAGACAATTCACAGTAAGAAAACAAGTTAGATCTTGCCATGGGAGATTTTGTTGGGAGCTCCTTTCTGAATTCTCTTAGATTGTCACCTGTATCTTATCACAGTGGACAGGTCTCCTCTGTTCCTTGGATTTTGTCACTGCAACAATAATTATACGTTTTTGTGCATTCATATAAAGAACAAAATTAAAAATATACATTTTATTTTTTAAGAGTTATTAAATATTCTTTAAAGTTTACAACACAATGTCTTTTGTATTCTTTTTAATAAACATATTTACACTGCAAGCTATAGAGTATATAAATATCCAAAGCTGTGTATGCGCATACACACAGAGTGTATGCAATAAAAAAGTACATTACTCTCTTTTTGTCATTTCTTTCATTTGATTTGATGTGTCTTTTTTTTTTTTTTTTTTTTTTTTTTTTTTGAAGTGGCTTACCCATTCCCCATTAAATTTATACTCCTTTCTGTTTCCTGTTTAAGGCCAAGTTTAAAGTATGTGAGAGGCAATACAGATAACATTTCAGAAAATACTGGGGGATCCAGATTTACTGTGATGTAACAAAAAGCACGTAGACACAAAACCTGTTATTTTCTATTTTGAACTTGTCTATGTTACTGATAATTTCGAAGCAAAAGGGTTTCTCTTCTGAGGTGGTGTTTGCTTAATTTTAGATATTAACTTGGAAAACTTGGCAAATTCACAGCAGACCCTCTGCTGACATCACCCATTAGAAAGTTCAGTACTAGCTTAAAGCAGGTCTGATTACACCAGGCAGCCTGTCTGAAGTTGTGTCTAACCCTCTGCCTTGCCCAGTAGAATTTATTGCAGCCTCAGGTTCAAATGACGAGCAAAACCAGAATAGTGAAACTGCCTCTACATCTGGTGTATTCTGACCAACACAGGAGTGCTATTAAAAGTATAAGGGTAGAAATGGACTGAAAGTGGAAGGAAGCAGACATTTAAGAGATTGTTGAAGGAAACCTCATGGAGGATAACCCAATCATTTGCTGGAAGTTTCTTCCAACTGTCTGTGGCAGGTTTGCATTTCTTCATATTTTCCTCATCCTCTTAAGTGGTCTCATTAATCACATCTATCCCCAATTCTTCTCTGAAATCTTTAAAGCTTTTGACTTCCGTGTTACCTGTGGCAATGAATTTCACAATTCCATCATGCCATATACATTTTAAAAAATCCTTCTTATACGGATTTTAAACACTTTGCCTTTCTTTTTCATTAACTCACTGTCAGTTCTATACTATAGAAATGTTAATCTACTGGAAATTTATGGTCACAAAACAACTTGGTTACATTCACAGCCTAACTGCTCTTCCCAATAAAGCTTAAACCCGTGTAATAGAGTATCCTATTGATTTTCAAGATCCCATCGTTTCAAAAGACCTATCGAGTCAAGTCTATCTTCCCCAAAAGCTAACCTGCTTCAGTTGTCTTGCTTTATGAAATACAGGTTGGCAAAGCCACCTGTAGATGTTTCTGTTGTAATCAACAGCCAGATCAGTATTTCAGCTGTCATTCTGCTATTTTTTTTTCAAATGTACTTAACACAACCCAGGAACTTCATGCTTAGCTGATTATACTGGCTATGTAATTTTTGTCTACAGGCCAGTGCTGCTGCAAATTAAAACATGCTATAGCCTTAGCAAATAAAAAAATGAATATATAAAAAATACTTCCAATAGGCTTAACTGCAGCTTCATTCAAAGTTTTTAACTTGATGGATCACAAATGCCAAGGGCCCTATGCTTCTGATTTCCTGATACATTAAAAATAATCTAATGAGAAATGGTTACCAAATTAAATAGTATGCACAATCTGAACGGCTTCTTTTTTGAAATCTCATCAGTTGATCATGTAATCATGTAAGGTAAATCACGTAAATTTTCTGTCCTGGACCTTGCCTTCTTTTTACTTTTTTCCTCCTGTAAAAATACTTTCATTCTGTTTAGTAAAAATTATGATTTTCAATGAGCTTAGTTTACATTGCAGCTACTGTACCGTACTCACACCGGTGGAAGCCAGATAACTGCACAGGTTGCTTATAGATCTTCTCACACTCCTCATTCTTCAATGCAGAACTGTTTGATCAGTTAAAATGATTCCTCAAACAATTCCCTGGTATCTTTTCTGCAGAAATTGCTGTTGAAACAGAATGCTTTGTTATTACAGAAGTGCTTAGCAGAGACTTAATTGCACATGAAGTTACAGGCATAATTTGAAAGGATGGGATCCTTATCCAATATAAACCTCCTATTACATTCCCACAGAATTTCGTATTAGTACAGGATGACATCTCCTAATTAGTATAGGATTTGGTTTCAGGGATAGCCAGCAGGACAAAGTATAGAGCTGTATATAATTATATCTATATAAAACCATTTTTTTTGTACAAGATGTGTACCTAGTACAACAAGGTACATCATAAAAAAAAAAAAAAAGAAAAATACAAAAACCTTCAACGTGTATTTATTTTATTATGCTGCCAGCAATAAAGTTTTAAGCGTAAAGTATCCATCCTGAAGATACTACAAATTGCTACCAAAAAAAAGGGATGTCAGGAACTGGCTTGTGAAAGTCTATTTGGATGCACCTAATTTCGCTGCTCTACAAACGTGCTTCCCTGTCTGTAAAGCCTAAGCCCGTGTATCTGCTGAGATCTGCCATTTGTACCTGGGCCACATACTACTCATGTGGATTCAAGGTTAATCACAGACCCAGTCTGGCAAACGCAGACAGAAAGAAGTATCTGTATTTTATAGCTTTAAGTGCCCCTGCATAGGCACCTTGTGTGATTTTAGGCAGTTTAGGTTTGCTACTGGATTAAGGAGACCACAGCCCCTATACAGGAGAGGCTCTCCACATAATTCAGGGACCTAACCAGGAGAAAGTCTGAATTGCTTCTGAAAGTCCCTTCTCCCCTACAAGCCTGCAAACTGCTTGATGAGCATCACTACCAAGCTGAACTGCTGCTTGTTCCTTCGCTTACCCAAAGAGACTATCGCAGGGCCCCCTCCCTGCTTCCCCTGGCATTTTCCTTTATCCAATTTACCTTGGAAACTCAGTGTTAGTGTTTCATCCACACATGCAATTAATTGATTCCGATTACTACCGCTCAGCTTGGATAAGGAGCACCCAGGATTTATCATTGGCTGGGAAAAAAAAAGAGAAAAAAGAAACTAAAAAAAAGCCTCAACCTAAGCAGTGCTCCCATTGACATTCTGTCGAGAAGCTCAGCACATCTATCCACTACTGAGGTGGAGCAGTGGATGCATTCCCACATTTGTCACTGTGGAAGCTGTTCAAGATAAATTCTACCACCTCTCTCTGAGCAGAATCCAGGCATTTAAGACAGTCAAAGCCCCTCAAAGCTTCTCCATAACCCACCTAACCCTACACATCCCTTTTTCTTCCTCACCAATAGTCACTGTCTTTGCAACTACAGTGATTTAACTGGAAAGTGACGCTGGCATTAGCCAAGAAGGGAGCGTGCATGGAGCCACCTAGAAGCCACAGAGAAGTTTTGAGGAAACAGCCGGCTGTGAGCTCAGCTGCAGGAATGGAACACTTAAGTCTTGTCAGGAAGAAAACCAGAAAAAGCCTACACTGGTCTCCCTGTGAACAGCTACCTTATACTACTTGTTTTCTCAAGAGCGGGATGTCCCTAAATCTCGTGGTTGACTATGGTCTTGCTCTGGGGAGGAAGAACAGAAATTCTGAACTCAGGCGTGTGCACAACTGAAGGAATTGTAGATTTGCAAATGCAAACAGAAAATTTGGATTGATGTGTCATATAATTACCCACTCACTTTCCCTAAACAAAGTAACTCACCAGCTTGAAAGTACAACTTGTTGTCATGGAACTTGCTTGGTATTTGGTGCTAATAAAAATGAAATTTTAAAGTTCCTTCTTGCGAGTTTTATGCATTAAAGTTCTTTCCCATTAAACATCATCTTACTCATAACTGTGCACTCCAGCAGGTTACTCTGACACAAAACAATTCAAAACAAGGAATTATCACATGGAAAATTTGTGTAATTAAAAGCTTACTGCAAATAATGCTATCTTCTTTCCGATGGAATAAAGAGTTAATGTACATTCAGAAATTATACATGTATGGTCTTCTCCAAACCAGAATATTCCAATACAAGCAATCTTTGCTTGATATGAAAACTAAAAATCAGAGATGCGAAGGAAACAGATACGGGAGAATGCTGACAACAGACCAACGAGTAAGGACACAGTTCTTGGCACCAGAGCACAGTCTTTTTTTCTTCATTGTGAGGTACACCAATTCTTCCATCTAATCTTTTTGAGACTTTTATAAACTCAGATGGTGATTCCCAAACATCTAGGATTGATGCAACCCTTGTCTATAGCATGCTGTTTGCAGATCTACAGAACTGCAATGGTGATGCCCTACTGCACTGCAGCC